TATTCATTGGAAGGACTGATGCTGAAGCTGAAACTCCAATACTTTGGCCACCTGATGCGAAGAACTGACTCATCTGAAAAGGCCCTGATGCTGGGAAAGATTGAAGATAGAAGGAGAAGGGAACGACAGAGGATGATATGGTTGGATGGCATCACCAACTCGATGGACATGAGTTTGAGTAATGATGGTGATGGACAGGGAGGCCTAGCGTGCTATAGTCCATGGGTCGCAGAGAGTTGGAAACAACTGAGCAACTGAACTGACCTGATGCCTTTTAATACCTAACCTATAAACTCCCAAATCTCTTATCTATTATCCAGGCCTCCTTGATTAACAGATTGTTCATCTAATCATCTACTAAAAATTCCTTGTCTACTTTGCTTTAAGTTCCTAAGATCAACATATCGTTAGGTCAACTTTTCCTGCTCCCTTATTTTATATTCCTTGTTCTAATAAATGATGTTACATATCATCAGCCACCAAAGCTAGAAATTTCAGAATCATTTTTTTGCTTCCTTCCTCTTTTTCAGACTTCATTACCAGTAGGAATTGATACCCTCTTCATTCTACTTAAAAGGTGTTGAACCATCTTATCTCTATCCCCAAACTGTTGCATTAGTTTAGACCCTTATCTCCTGCTCAGAGGACTACTCTAATTCTTTTGATTTGTAGCTTCTCTGCCCCTTCCACCATATATTTCACAGACTAAAGTCTAATATTCCCTCATATAACATACCAAACTGGAGTTGAAAGACCAGTTTGAAGACCACTCTCAAAAGCAAGAAGAGAGATATTAAGAATAAAAATTGGAGCAGTGACCCTTGTGTAGGAGTTGATAGGTACAGGGATTTTTCTCAATTATGACTTGGAAATTACACATTGGAGTGGCTGCCTGGCTCAGAAACTCCTTCATGAGGTTCTGTCTTTGCTATTCACTGTCCCCTCTTCAAACACTCCTGTTCTGTCATGAACTGCCTCTCTGCCTATAATATTGGTCAAGAGAGGAACCCCTGACCACGATGGGTAAAGGTAAACCTTGGCCATGGCCACAGTGACTGGTGCATGAAGCGGGCATATGAACCAAATTGGACTAACCGGGGCTTTTCCCAGAACTCAGTTCAAAGTTGAGCTAGAGAAAGGTAATCTCTTCTGTTTGGTTCTCACTGCTGTCAGAACATGAGTCTAGAGATGTTTGTAGCCTTCCCTGTCTCCCCTGAGTGCATTATAAAAAACCCGCCATGGGAAGAATTGAGACCAGCCTGTAGGGAACCAGAGAGACCTTATGGTATTCATATCCTTGGTTTCAGTGGTCCCTCGGAATAGTGCCATCCCTGCCTGATGGCACTGAATTTGTTAGTTACATGTTTCACTAAATTCTCCTTTCTTCCTAAAACAGAATTTTCAGTCAAAAGACTCTGAGTAACACAGAGCTAGTCTAGTACTAGAATGTGGCACTTAATGTCTGGGGAAGATGCAGGAAAGCCAGAGTTGACTTGCAGGCTTCTGTTCAGAATGGCGTCTCTTCTGTAACTTTATAAATGAATGTGTGTCCTCTGCCAGATGTTCCGCTCCTTGCAGGCCAGGCTGTATCTTAATTATCTTACTTGCTTTTAAGCCCACATCTAGCACAATGCCTGAAACAAATAAGGTGTTTTTAAGTTTTGCTGTCAAATAGAGTAAAGTTCACAAAAGATAAAGATTCATTAATTTATGCAAAATGTTTTCCCTTTGACACAATGCTAGTTTCAGGGCTCAGGGGGATGGCATACTGTTTTTCAGCCATTTTTTAATCTAATGAGAATTNCAGGGGGATGGCATACTGTTTTTCAGCCATTTTTTAATCTAATGAGAATTTGGAAGATACTTCAAATCTTCCTCTCTACTGTGTTCCTACTTACAAATCTTCCTCTTTACTTCCTCTCTAAGCTTAGTGTTTAGTACAGTTTTTGTCTTTTTTACATGTATAGTATACTTAAAATGTGATTTATGCTTTAGGCTAAAAGAAATTATTTTTAAAGAGAGAAATTCCAAGCTGCAGCTGGAAATTATGGTTCACAGACTTCAAAATGAAATTAAAAAACTAACTATTGAATTAATTAAAGCAAGAGATCAACAGGATGACCACATTAGACACCTGAGAACGCTGGAGAAGGCGCTGGAGAAAATGGAGAGGCAGAAAGGGCAGCAGCAAGCTGCGCAGGTATGCTCTGCCATCGGTGTGCCTGCGGGCCCCACGCTCACGGCGCCTCTCCCGAAATGCCTCCGTCCCCATGCGCAGACAGAGATGTTGGGCTGGATGCAGAAATTACACGTGCCAGTCGTTTACCCTGCGGAATTATTTCTTGAATTAAGGCAAAGCAGTTATAAGACAAGTTGGTGGATATACTGCTAGTTGTTAGGCTTGTGTCTTATTAGAGCCAGTTTTTAAATGACTCCTTAGGGGTGCTTGAAGGCTTTTAATTTTTGTGTTTTCTGAATAGAATTTTTAAGGTTCATGGTGCAAATAAGATTTCATGCTAATACATTTGATGCGTCTGCATGCGTGCTGAGTCACTTCAGTTGTGATCAGCTCTTTGTGATCCTATGGAGTGTAGCCCACCAGGCTCCACTGTCCATAGGATTCTGCAGGCAAGAATACTGGAGTGGGCTGCCTTTCCCTCCGCTAGGGGATCTTCCTGAACCGGGGATCAAACCCGGATCTCTTAACGTCTCCTGCATTAGCAGGTGGGTTCCTTACCACTAGCACCACCTGGGAAACCCTTGATGCTTCTAAGACTTAACTTTATGTAACCACACCATTATTTAGTTAATTTTGGAAATCAGCTTAGTCACTAGGTCCTGTTACTTAGAAGACACTTTTCTTTGGGGAACTGACATTAAAATAGAAGCAGAGGAGATTATCTAAATACTGTAATTGTGTGTATTACTCAGATGCGACTTATCCAAGAGGTGGAACTCAAAGCTGCTGCTGCTGATAGAGAAATAAACTTACTTAGGAGTTCTCTGCATCAGGAGAAGGAACAGGTGCAACAGCTTCATGAACTGCTTGCATTGAAAGAACAAGAACACAGGTCAGTGAAATACGTGTAGATCAGGAAAATACGAACATTTAACAACAGGAAAAGTCACTTGGTTCTCTCTGCCCCTCCTCCCAGAACTAGGCAGTGATTCAGCAATGGTGAAGTCAGACAGAATTAGCTGGTGAAAAATGACATGTTTATGTATATTTTAGAATCAGTCTTATTGTAAGAACTTGTAACTTAGAAACAAATCAGTGACTTTGTTAAGGTTGAAGTATGAATTTACAGCAGCGAAGCTCATTTTGCGTTTCTCTAAGTCCAACCAAAAGTTGATCATTATAATATAGATAAAACTGTTTTACTTGACTTCCAAGTACTACTTGTTATCAGTATACTATACTCCTTTAAAGCAGGATTCAGCAGACTTTTTCCTGTGGAAGTCCAGATAGAAAATATTTCAGGCTTTTCAGGTCTTGCCTAACTATCTGTCGCCCAAAAGTAACCATAGACAGTGTGTAAACAAATGGATGCGCTGTGTTCCAATACAAGTTTATTTCCCCACAAGAAGGGCACCAGGCCAGATTTTGTCCAAGGGCTGTAGTTTTGCCCAGTAGACTGTATTTACTGTATATTAAAGACTCAAGCAACGTAGAAGATGCAGTGAAGCAGAACCTGACTCCTATGAATGCACCCAAAGGATATTAGAAACCATAAAATGACTGAACTATCTCAGTGAAGTTAAGACTTGGCATATCCCTGTCACCACCGAATGAACAGTCAAATAAAACTCATATTCTTTCTGCATCTACCATCCTGTCCCTAGTTTTGTGTTTGAAAGTAAGGAGCTGATCTTTAACATTAGGGAATATAGAATATTTAGTACTTAAAGGCCTTTTAAGTTTTTCTTTCCATGTAAATAGCATCCTGTGATTTTTATGTGTTTTTCATTCCAGGAAAGATATTGAAACAAGGGAGTTTTTTAGTGAAGCTGAGTTCCAGGAAGCCTTAGCTAAAGAAATTGCTAAAGAAGAGAGAAAGCATGAGCAAGTTATAAAAGAATATCAAGACAAAATCGATGCATTAAATCAACAGTATATGGATTTAGAAAATGAATTCCGCATTGCTTTAACTGTTGAAGCCAGAAGATTTAAAGATGTAAGAACTGGCATCTAGCTTTTTATTGAAAACAATCAGCAAGTTATGATTTGATAAGAGGACTGTGTTTTAGAATTCTAGCTGTATTTGCATGCTGCCTATAAGATCTTAAGCAGATTACTTAGGTTCTTAGAACCTTATTTCTTCACATAAATAATAGCTAATCTTCAGTGCTGTTGCCAAAGCTAAGTGACATTATAAATGGTCAAGTAAAGAGAGCACTCGAATAGGAATGGGGAAACCTGCATTCTCTTAATAATCTAGTGCTATAGAGCAGGGATTGGCAAACTAAAGTCTCTGGGCTATTTTTGGCCCACTACCTGTTTCTGTAAGGTTTTATGAGAACAGAGCCATGCCCACTTGTTTACATAGTGTCTGGCTGCTTTTGTGTCAAAATAGCAGGGTCCAGACCTTAAAACATAAACACATATGGCCTGGCTGACCTGCACAGCCAGTTATCTGTGAATTTCATTCTATTGCTAAAACTCAGATACTAAAAATGAAAAAAGTAAGCCGTTTCCAAAATCTGGTATTTTCTAAATATTCGGAGAACTGCTATTTATAATGCAATTTTAAAATATAGGTTAAAGATGGTTTTGAAAATGTTGCAACTGAATTAGCAAAAAGCAAGCATGCTCTTGTTTGGGCTCAACGAAAAGAAAATGAGTCTTCCTCTTTAATTAAAGACCTAACCAGCATGGTGAAGGAGCAAAAAACAAAACTTGCAGAAGTTTCTAAATTGAAACAAGAAACAGCAGCAAATTTACAGGTAAGACACTGTACCATTATATTTCCTTTTTAACTTTTATGTCATTTTTTCAAGTATATTGTGATAATTGTAGGAAGTATAGAATTCTGAACTAGATAACACTAAGTATATTTTTATGTGTGTGAAGACTAATATAATTAGGAGATAAACCATGGCTGCTCAGGTTGTACTACTTACACTAAAATCGTATTTAAAGAAGTGAATTAATTTTAAGAAGCATACTAAGTAAATAGATACCAGTTTTACAGCGATACAGATGGTTGAAGTTAGGAAAATATCAAAGGAATTATTGATATTAATTTTGTGGTAGTAGACTTCTTTACATATTAATATACCTAACTATAATAATTTTTAATTACTTTATTTCTGTTGTCTCAGTTTTAAATATTGGTGATATTTTGCTCAAAAGGACTCACTTTATATAAGTGACCTTTAGACTGTTGATGTAAATCCTTGGTGAGAAATTTTGAGTAATAAATGTGTAGTTGCTCTTTTAAAATATTAAATAAAATTCAGAGTTTTTACAGGAATAGCCTCTTAAAATTTGACTTTTTATTTAATGACCTACATTTATTTTTAGTTAATAAAATTAAAACATTTTCTATGTAAAATTTAGGAACATTACTTTGTATTTGCTTAAATAAGATTTTTTCTCACTATAAAATACAGAAAGAAAATTTTAAAGTACTTAAATATAATAATTACTTTGCATTCTTTTCAATGTTTTTTGGTGGTATACAGAATCAAATCAACACACTTGAAATTTTAATTGAAGATGACAAGCAGAAGAGTATTCAAATAGAACTTCTCAAGCAGGAAAAAATGCAGCTTATTTCCGAGCTAGCTGCCAAGGAATCGCTAATTTATGGTTTAAGAACAGAAAGAAAAGTATGGGGACATGAGTTGGCACTACAGGGTAAAATTCTCAAATTTTCAAAGGGAAAAAATAGCCCATTCTGCTCATCCTCCAAACCGGTGTATTAGAAAAGGGAGGGTTAACTCTTCTAGACATCCCAGGAAAGAAGGTGATGCTTTATACGGAAGGGTAACTGGTCATTTGTCAGTCAGATAGTAATGAAATTATACTAAGGAATTGAGAAGGAGTTTATTACACCCATTTTATGGTTATAGCTCTGATGTTTTGCTATCTCTGGTTTTCTTCCCAGTATAATTTGGTTACGTTTCTGAACAGGTATACCTTTATGATGCTACAGCTGAATAAGTTATTGAAAACAGTTCTTTCTTATCTAATGATTTTAAATTGTTTGTACATATGCAGCATTCATTTTTTTGCTAACAAGATAAATGTTGCTAACATTTATCTTGTTACATGTGGAGAAATGTGAAATCAGTCATGAATAAAAAACATTTTAGGTTCAGGTAAACTTACCCTTAGTCTCATTCCCTTCCAGTCACCATAAAGCAAGAGATATACACTGTTTTAAGGCATGAAACAGTTGTAAAACAGAGACTTTACAAATTATGAATAGTATATGTTGGCTTAAATCAAACATTGCTTATTTGACCATTCCATGTAGGAATCTGTAATATGATTACAAATTAATTTTGTTTGTATGGACAGCATAACATGACCCATTAAATATTTTGTGTCTCAGTTACTTGTTCACAAAAGTAACTGCTTACATGGTTACTGTGGTTTTAGGTTCTCAAATACCCACAGTTTTTAAAAGGCCTGTTTCTTCTCTTTCCACTTCATATTATGCTGTTACATATTTTGTTTCTTTATTCCGCTTCTTTCATTTATTATATCATACACTGTAAAATTAGATGCTTGTTGAAAACAAATCTCCAAGGTCTTCGTAAGTTTTTTACTGTGATGTCTGTTTCTTAGGATCTTGTCTAGCCCAAAATCATGGGAGAGTAGAGGCTCAGCTTGAAAGTTTGTGTAGGGAGAATGAATGTCTGCGAAAAGCAAGTGAGCATGACAGTGACACAATAAGAATCAAATGTAAAATCATAGATGACCAAACTGAAACCATTGGAAAATTAAAAGAAGTAAGTTTGACATTTTATTTTAGGAAAAGCTCATAGGGGAAGTTTGAAAATCTGTGGATCAAAATACCTAATAAATATTTGTCTCTATGAATCCCAACTGTTGTGGAGTTTAAGCCATACTATCGTGTTTTTTTAATAATGTTTGCCACTTTGCTTTTAAAAGTTAGATATAACATTTATTAACTTGAAATTACTTTTACCTCAAAATTTTATGGAGGGTGTTATGATGGCCCTTCAGAGTAATTGAAACTAGCGTCCATAATGGGTGGCCGTTGCTCTTCAGTTGCTGGGTCATGTCCAGCTCTTTGCGACCCCGTGTACCGCAGCACACCAGGCTTCCCTGGCCTCGGCGGCCGGTAGAGTTTTGCACAGTCAGCAAGGACTAGCAGTGGGACGTCAGGGCGCCGGGCGTGTTGTCTGGCCGCGTGGGGCGGCTGTAGGGCCTGAGATGGCAAACCACCTCAGTGTGCTTGCCTTCAGAGCCCCATAAAGGGTTAGGAATCAAAAAAAGGTCGCATTTTTATTTAGACTCTGTTGTTTAGTATCTTCCAGTATTGCTAAATCAGTTCTCAGAATTCTCTGACAAAACCTTGTTCAGTCACCCAGTCGTGTCCCACTCTTTGCAACCCCATGGACTTCAGCATGCCATGAATAGAATGTAAAAGGTTCCTGCTTATTTCCAAGAGACACCGTTTTTACCCTCTTCTTTAATACAGCCTGTCTTAGAGAAAACTAACAGGATCTCTTGTTTCAAAGTATATTACGTGAAAATTCCCAGAGAAATATTCTGACAGTTAGCATGAACTCCAAAATTTGAATAAAATTGAACTCCAAAATTTTCTTCTGAAGATTTATCTTCAAGATGTAAAAAAAATAGCCCAAGAAAAGAGATTTTAAGAAACTTCTAAATGGGATTAACACCCACAAAGTTAGGAACTCATTCTCTCTCATTTTATTTTTTTAAGGAACTCATTCTTTAATTATAACTACCTAATATTTGATTTTTTTTCCCCTTAGTCATTTTTAAGGAACAGAACTTCATCAAGTACAGAAAATAAAGAAATATTACCACCATGTTGTTATATCCATAATTAGATTTAGACTATGAATGCTTGAACTGTGATTTTTGAACTGTGTTTAGGTAATATAATTACCCTAATCAATTATATTGTTTTTTTGCTTTTGGATGAAACCAAAACTTACATTATATCTGTCATACATGCCAAGCTACACTGAAAATTATTCAAAATTGTTAAGCAATAAGCATTTTTTCTACACTCAGTATAACACTGTGTTTGATGTAACTACTTCTGCAGTAACACTGCTGCTTATCAGTCTCTGAATAGAGTTTTGGGAGAAAATGACTAGTAATGAATAATACAGTGGAGCCAAAAAGGAAATGACTTCTAGTTTTTAGATTTTTGGTTTAAAAAAAAAAGTTTTCAGGTTTTCAACTCATCATTTTTCTTTTTTTCCCCCCACAATTTAGTATATTTACTTTAAAGAGCATTGTATCAACCTCAAAGATAGGAGCGTTAATGGTGCATCCTAGCTCATCACAGAACATACAGAGATAACTAGGTATAATTTCTTATAGCAATAAATTCACTATGTGCTCAGTTACTCAGTCATGTCTGACTTTTTGCAACCCCATGCACTGTAGCCCACTAGGCTTCTCTGTCCATGGGATTCTCTAGGCAAGAATACTGGAGTGGGTTGCCATTTCCTCTTCCAGGGATCTTCCCAACCCAGGGATCAAACCTGTGTCTTCTTCATTGGCAGGAGGATTCTTTACCACTGAGCCACCAGGGAAGCCCAAATATTTCACCATAGCTAATAACTTAAAGGAATAATGACCTAATCTGTAGAATTTGGAGTTTGATATTTTCAATTAAGTAGATTTTAAAACAGGATTTTTGAGGTTTGGCTTCCTCATATGTATTATTTTGGTACTTTTAAGTATGGGTCACAAGATTCTCTGATGCTACAATGTTATTTTTATTAACAGGGTTATTTCATAAGAATCTTTGGTAGCTTTTATGAATTCCTAATAATATATTAAGACCGCTGTCCCCTAAGTACTTAAGTATGAGAGTTGTGGGGAGAAAATAAATTATGGAAAAGACTACCAGATATCGTTGCTTAGAATTTTTAGATGTATAACACACTGAGGAATTGAACCACATTTTCTAAAATACTGATGAATTCATTCCTAAATTAGCCTCATTCAGTATTTGTTTGCCTCCATCATCTTCCCAAAAGGGGAAAAAAGGCAAGGTGGGGCAGGGGAAACAGGATGAAAGCAGGAACTGCTAATTTCATTTTTTCTCACTTGTGGAGACTGATACCGCTAGTTGATGTTACAGGGTTCCATCCATCCAGCCATGCCCCGCTAAAGCAGATACGGTCGTTGGCATAAATAAATCAGATGAGGCCCAGTGCCTGCAAACATTTAACAGTGCCAAAGGTAGTTGATCTTTGATTAATCCTGATTTGTTGTATGCAAATAGAGGATACAGCCGGCCTCACAGGACAGAAGATACGATGAAAGGAGGTTTGGGGGAATGTAGAGCCTATTTTCATGTGACATTTCAATAGTGATGGAATCATACTTTAAAGTATTTGTTCACTCTAATGCAGAAGACACTTGTTTAGCAGAGTAGAAATAGTATTTTATGTCATACATGCATCGTGAATATCAATCTTTGCTATATTCCGTGTTAAATAAAATTGTCATTGCACTGTTTTTCTTCCCCTGTACTCCCTTTGTGTGGTTGGTTGTAACGTAATGAAATAAAAAGTGTGGATAGTGTATCATTCTTAATGACATTTAAAACAAAGTAGTGGTGCTATTCCTTATTGATTGTGATTTTTAAAATGTTCTGTAGAAATCTTTTCTAAAACATTCACTGAACGTTCAATTTATTTTTTAATCTGTAGTTTTTATAATAATTTTAAACCATATTGAATTTGGAAATAAGATATTTAAGATTAAGAAAAATAATTATTTTTTTAATGATGATTTATTTTCTGTAAAAATGAAGTGTTTACAGGAAAAAGAGGAACAAATCAAAATATTACATGAAAAAATCACTGAAATACAAAAATGTACTCAAGAACAACTTGAAGAAAAATCTTCACAACTGGATGAAATAGTTGAGAAACTAGAAAGACACAATGAAAGAAAAGAAAAACTAAAACAGCAGTTGAAAGTAAAGGAATTAGAACTTGATGAAATCAGAAAAGCTTACAGGTATTATATAGTATTTCCTATTGAGAAATAACATGTGGCTTAATAATTTCATGTAACCATTTTTAAAATTATTTCTTTTCATATTAGTACACTTAATCAGAAGTGGCATGATAAAGGAGAACTTCTGTGTCATCTTGAAATGCAAGTAAAAGAAGTGAAAGAAAACTTTGAAAACAAAGAAAGAAAACTTAAAGCGGAAAGAGACAGAAGTATCGAACTACAAAAGTAAGCATTAAGTCCTTAAGTACGTGGGATATCTTTAAAGAAAACTGAATTGGGATGGGTAGGCATGAGGAGGGTAAAAACATTTTGGACATAGTTATTTCCCAAGTACTTAGTTTCCATTCCATCTATAAAATGAAGATGATAATAGTTCCTCCTTAATATTTGATGAAAGTTTAAACTTTGTATATATGAGTATTTATGTATGTATATGATTTGTATGAGCTATTTAGCATTTAAATAGTGCCTGATGCATAGTAATTGCTATATAAATATTTAGTTTTTATTACTAGAATTATTGTTTTCAAATTCTGTTTGAATGGGAACAGCTAATATTTTTAGCTGTTGTATGTGGAGTTGTGTGTGGAGTTTTGGCTTCCCTGGTGGTTCAGCAGTAAAGAATATGGGTTCAATCCCTGGGTTGGGACGATCCCCTGGAGAAGGAAATAACAACCCACTCCTGTAGTCTTGGCTGGAGAATCGCATGGACAGAGGAGCCTGGCAGTCCACGGAGTTGCAAAGAGTTGGACACAACTTAGCGACTAAACAACAACATGTGAAGTTTAGAGGAAAACAATCACTGACTACCAGGGACAGAGAGCTCCTGAAGAATCTAAAACAGATGTTGGTAGCAGTTAGCCTGCACCAGCTGAGGATGAGAGCTGATTTTAAGTAAGGGGAAGAAAATCTATACACATATGCCATTGTTGTATGGATTTTATAAAATACTGTAGAGGAAATGAGGGTTTTACCTTATAAACTATATGACTAGACTTGTTAAAATAATTTAAAGTTAACTCACCTAGAAAATTGGTAGCATGGTTTAGTGACCAGTTCTCATGTCAAAATATAGAATGGTGTAGATAATGTGGCATGTAGGTAGCCCCAAAATTTCATATAGAAGTAGGTTCCCCATTATATCAAATCTAATAGAACCTCAAAATTTGGTTTTTCATATTTTAACTCAATGTAAATGAAAAGGTGAAAGGTGTTATTATACACCCCAGAAGTTTTAATTGATAATACAGTCAGTTGTCTGCTAATGGACCCTGTTATACTTTGCTTTACAACCAAACATGAATGCAACGAAACATTGACTTAGAGTCTATTTTCTTTCCTGCTGCTCACAGCTTTGCAGTATGAAGTCCTTTTGATCCTAAAAGACAAAGTCATTTCATATAACTGGAAGTTCCTAAACTTAATAAAAACCATAAAGCCTGACAATTTTTAGAATCTCTTATATTGTTTATTGTGGTTTTAAGAGCAAAACAATAAAAAGGCCTGGTTTTTACCTTAATGCTATTATGACTGAGATTGGTAGGTATGATTTTTAATTTAATGGAATTTTAATAAAATAAGTAAATCATTGTTCATAAGAAAGATTGTATTTGCATAGCTTTTTATAATATATAAATTGATTTTTTACTTATATCTTACTTTGAACTCAGCAGGAATGCTGTGAGGTTAGCCAAACAGGCAGGATTATTGTGTTATAGTTGACAGACTTTAAATCCAGAGGTTGTGAACTTGCCCTTGGTCACATAGTTACCAAATGTTGCAACAGGAATAAAAGAAAGGCTTTTGATTCATGATCCTAATGCTGAAAGTTCAGTCTCCCTGCACCTGTGCCCAACGAAGTGTCAGAGAGAGAGTTTTGGGTGACGTAGAAAAGGATCGCGTTGTTGCTTTGCCCGGCAAAGGGGGACGCAGCAGGCTTGTGCCTCAAAACCTGTGTCCCAGTGTGGGAGGATTTGCTGAGTTTTATAGCAGTGGTTCCAGAGAAGGCAGGGGCACCCCACTCCAGTGCTCTTGCCTGGAAAATCCCATGGACGGAGGAGCCTGGTGGGCTGTAGTCCATGGGGTCCCTAAGAGTTGGACACAACTGAGCGACTTCCCTTTCACTTTTCACTTTCATGCACTGGAGAAGGAAATGGCAGCCCACTCCAGTGTTCTCGCCTGGAGAATCCCAGGGACGGGGGAGCCTGCGCTGCCGTCTCTGGGGCCGCACAGAGTCGGCCACGACTGCAGCGACTCAACAGCAGCGGCAGCACGGCAGTGGTTCGGGGGTGGAGCTGCTGTGAAGAGTGGGGTCTGTGCGGGGCCTGTGCTCCTTTGACCAGGCCTGAGGTGGTCTTCTCCCTGATCTTTGCGTCCCTCCCTTCCCTGATAAGCGACTCTTCGTATCTACCCGTTGAAACTCCGGGAACGTCTTGGAGGCTGGAGTCTATCCCCTGCAAACAGGAAACGGGGGACACAGAAAGGCTTCCATGCCCAGGAGCACAGTTTCGGTCCTAATGTTCAGTCCGCTATTGCAGTGGGCTGTGCCAAAACCAGGAAGCTTGTTCATTATGAGCTTAACGTTTCTAATAAAATTATTCATATTTAATATTAAGAAATGGGTATTTTGCCTGTAATAAACATTTAGCAGTGAAATTTTGTAAATGCTGTTTATGTTTATTAACATAGGGTTTTATCTGATAAGCATAAACAGGAAAATCAGACATATGATTATAAACTTGAACCTGCATTGTAAATTATTATCATACTGCTAATACATGGAGAAAAAAAAATTGATAGTAGCATCTGTGAAGATGCTTATAAAGTATATCCTTAGACTCACAATAAGTGAGAACCATGTATCCTAACTTTCAGAGGATAATGTAACAAACTTCCACTTATGTTACCCTACTCTAAACTGGTACTAACAGATTCTGTTGGATGATGAACTACTTATAACTTTAGTTACCCAAGGTAGTCTTTTGCTATTCAATGGAGTTATGCTTCCATTAAAATATGAATGAGTGCTTCCATGTAAAAAACAAAAAATCCTAATTTTTATACATCCAGGTAGATATGTGGTTTTGTTTTGTTTTTAAGGGATGCAATGGAAAAGCTTCATAGTATGGATGATGCCTTTAAGAAACAAGTTGATGCAATTGTTGAAGCTCATCAAAATGAAATAATACAACTGGCAAATGAAAAACAGAAATGTATTGATACTGCAAATTTAAAGGTACCATAAGTAAAATTCACTTTGATAATCAGTATTAAATTGTTATAGCTAAGTAAATTGTATCTTCAACAGTGATAAGGAGAAAAGGCAGCATGATTTAATGACCAAAATAGATATGAAGAATGTTACTAATACAATCATGAAGCCAGACCAACATGTTGGTAATACCTAGATTAGTTGTAGAACAGAATTTTAATGAAACCAAGATTATAAATTTGATTCTGATATGCACCTGCTCCATGAGCTCTGGCTAAAAATCCATATATCCCTCACCAATTTCAACTGGAAGCCCTTTTGGTTACACATAGGCAAGGTGAGAATGTGAATGTATTAAGTACAATCTGTTACTGCCTTGGACAAGTTCTCAAGGATTGTTTTATTATGAATTTTAGGGTTCAGCCTGTCAAGTTTCTTGTTGCCAAAGGAATGGGTTTAGGATGATACTAAATGACAGGGAAACATCAGAATTAACTTACGAAGCTTTTTAATAATACTTACGTATGAGCTTTCCCCTCAAGACTTTGATTCACCAAGACTAGGTTCAAACCTAGATGTTTTTAAAACTCAACAGGTGATTCTCGTGTGACTCCACTGTTGAGGTCCACTCACTGAGACAGTTATGAACTTTCATTTTCCCCTGATTTTGAAGTGTTAATAAGAAACACATATCTTTAAGACTGGAAATTCAGAAATCAGCCACTAGAGAAGGAAAAGAGTTAATAGAAAAGGAAAGAATACTTCATATTTTATAATCAAGGTTGTGTAGTTAAATGACATTAAAGGAGTCTGTATAACCAGAAAGCGGGAATTACATCTTTGAAAATAATCACAATTAATAAAGAAGTACAATTTGTTCACAATTTAGTTCTTTATTTCAGTTCAGTGGTTTTTTCCAGATATTTAAAATCTACTGAGTGTTGAACAAGATTACACTAGGTATTATTAAATAAGATATGACATTAGACCTTTAGCTCAAAGCAAAATACTGTGCTTGATTTTGGACATCTTACAGTATGATGTAATATCATAGGGAGGTGTTTGTTAGGGAATTAGAAAAATGGCACCAAAGTTTAAATGTGGTAATCATGAAGAAAGGCATCACATACAAGTGATCATTTAAGTTAGGAGAAATGTTAATTTTTAGAAGAAAAAAAGAAGTCTATGTTAGAGATTAGGAAGAGGGAAGTAGACAGATAGGGATGACTATATTGCTAGTACACTCAGGAATGTTGTATAATAGGAGAGAATGTTTCAAGCAGAAATTAATAGTATCAAATACGTAGAATCCTAGGAGAATAAATATGGATTAACAGTAACTCATAAAATTATCTCTCAAAAAGATGATAATGTTTAACCACCAGCAGCAGTTTTAGAAATGCAGCGTTTAAAGAGTTTCTTTGGGAAGGGAGGTGATTTCAGTTTTGAAAGTTTGTAAGGATAAGTCAAGAGTCATGATTTGACATTCATAACTGCTTATGAATGTGAAAGCAGTTAAGTCAGAAGATTAAGTCAGAAGACTAGGTTTCATCCATGTATGAGCTTTCCCCTCAAGACTTTGATTCACCAAGACTAGGTTCAAACCTAGATGTTTTTAAAACTCAACAGGTGATTCTCGTGTGACTCCACTGTTGAGGTCCACTCACTGAGACAGTTATGAACTTTCATTTTCCCCTGATTTTGAAGTGTTAATAAGAAACACATATCTTTAAGACTGGAAATTCAGAAATCAGCCACTAGAGAAGGAAAAGAGTTAATAGAAAAGGAAAGAATACTTCATATTTTATAATCAAGGTTGTGTAGTTAAATGACATTAAAGGAGTCTGTATAACCAGAAAGCGGGAATTACATCTTTGAAAATAATCACAATTAATAAAGAAGTACAATTTGTTCACAATTTAGTTCTTTATTTCAGTTCAGTGGTTTTTTTCAGATATTTAAAATCTACTGAGTGTTGAACAAGATTACACTAGGTATTATTAAATAAGATATGACATTAGACCTTTAGCTCAAAGCAAAATACTGTGCTTGATTTTGGACATCTTACAGTATGATGTAATATCATAGGGAGGTGTTTGTTAGGGAATTAGAAAAATGGCACCAAAGTTTAAATGTGGTAATCATGAAGAAAGGCATCACATACAAGTGATCATTTAAGTTAGGAGAAATGTTAATTTTTAGAAGAAAAAAAGAAGTCTATGTTAGAGATTAGGAAGAGGGAAGTAGACAGATAGGGATGACTATATTGCTAGTACACTCAGGAATGTTGTATAATAGGAGAGAATGTTTCAAGCAGAAATTAATAGTATCAAATACGTAGAATCCTAGGAGAATAAATATGGATTAACAGTAACTCATAAAATTATCTCTCAAAAAGATGATAATGTTTAACCACCAGCAGCAGTTTTAGAAATGCAGCGTTTAAAGAGTTTCTTTGGGAAGGGAGGTGATTTCAGTTTTGAAAGTTTGTAAGGATAAGTCAAGAGTCATGATTTGACATTCATAACTGCTTATGAATGTGAAAGCAGTTAAGTCAGAAGATTAAGTCAGAAGACTAGGTTTCATCCAGATATGCTACTGAGAAGCACCACAACCTTGAACAAGTTTTCTGAACTACAAAATAGAGTTAAATTACCATGTGTTCATTACAAGAGCCTATGAGAAATAAGTGGATGGTACACATGTGAATATTTTGTATACAGTATGACATTGTTTTCCATTTTAGTATTTGAATAGGTTAACATTTTATTAACCTCTTTAAATGAATATCACATCACAAACTATAAAATGTATACAACTAAATTTACTTTCTCCATTTTTTAAAATGCATTTTCACTGAGAAATTTAAATGTTATAAAATGTACATATTGATTTAGGTTCATCGAGTTGAAGAAGAAATGCGTGGACTTCTGGAAGAAACATGCAAGAACAAAAAAGCAATGGAAACAAAAATTAAGCAACTTGCTTTTGCTCTAAGTCAAATTCAGCAAGAAATTTGATGGTTCTGAGAAGAATTGATTTGAAATGGACCGGCAGGCCTGTTGTAAAAGTGATTAAATACTGTAACAGTAGTAACTGCTGTGACTTTGAAATGTCTCTTTCTACACATTTCATTCTGATGATATTTTAGAAGGCTTCTGATCAAGTATTCATTGTATATGTAGGTTTTTTTTATAATAAATTGTTGACAATTATGTGTATTAGAAAAACCTATCAAAATAACTAGACTTAAAACACTTTTTCTTGTTTCTGTGCTATATACATTGTCTGGTCATTACACATTTGCCTATAAGAATGTTAATGAAAATTTAGTCTTTTGACTACATGAGGGAAAGTATTTTAATACTGTTAACCTTACTGTGTGGATGAACTAATTATACTTATTGGTTGTCCTTTAGTTGAGGTAGCTCCATTCTTTTAAAATGCTCATAAGTGTAGCCAAAAAGTATTTTAAATCTGTATAAGAGATGTGGTATTTTTAAGAATGCATATGTATGTTTCCACATCACTCATAATGACTCCTTTTTAGTTTATGAGGCGAATTCATATTTTACAACTTAAAACACTTATATTCCATTTCATATCAGTTCATTTACTCCTATTTCAATTTTGTCATCTCTTACGTTCCTGTGTATACAGAACAAAGATCTGAATACTATTCTCCTTACTATTTCTGAAAGAAAGAGAACATAATACCAAACTCTAACTAATAGCCAGTGAACTATGATTTTTAAAATTAAATGCAATCAGAAAAAAATGTAAAGAGAAGGCCCCATTTATTATAGGCAAGGTTTATACTGAAATCTGTGGGACATCAAGCATATCAGCACATGTAATAGGAGCCTCTAGGGGGATGGGAGGACAAGAAACATTGGGGAAAATAATAGCTGGAACCTTCCTTAATTTGATGAAAAAGATGAACCTACATGTTCAAGAACTTCAGTAAAACCCAGGATTAATAAACACAAAGAGAACCACACCTAGACACAGTCAAACTGTTGGGGGAAATCTTGAAAGTAGCAAGAAAATATGATTTAATGTAAAGGAATAGTTAACAGTTGAGAAATTTCTCATGAGACGTAATGGAGACTAGAAGGCAGAGAAGGACATATTTTAGGTACAGGAAATAACAGTAAGCTGAGAATTCTACATCCAACAAAATTATCCTTCAAAATAAAATGCAAAACACACTAGATGCAGTGGGCTGACAAGAGTTTTTCAACAACAAAAAAATCAGCTAAGAATTCTATATCCAGCAAAACTCTTTCAAATGAAGCCAAAATTAAGTCATTCTCAGGTAACAGCTGGGAAATATGTTCCTACCAGACCCACCTTAACGAAAAAGGCTGAAGGAAGTTCTTACTTCACATCCTTTCAGAATGTGACCCTAGAGAGTAATTTGAATAAACATGAGAAGAAGAAAGAAACACAAAGCAAAATATATAATTATAAAAAAATATAAATTCATATTTTCCCTTCATCCCATAACTGATTAAAGAATCAAAATATATAAAATAATGTATATAATTGTATTATTAGGAGTAAAACAAAATGTAACATTTCTCCATATCAGCACAAAGGTGGATGGAAGCAAAGCTGTATTGGGAAGTAAGGAAATAGGAGATAGTATAACTTGAAACCCATAGGACCAAGGGACAATAATGAGTTGTAAATATGAAAATTAGTTTAACTATGAATATATGTTTGCTGTCCTACTTAGACTTTATATGCAACAACCAGTTTCATAACAAAAAGAGGAAGGAAATAGAACTAAATAGAAACATTTCTACATTTCACTGAAATTGGGTCAGTACAAATCTGTTGTATATATAAACTGGTGAAGCCATTAAGGATGTAACTCAGAATATATAGCCAAAAAATAGCCAGAGCAAATTAAAACATTACACTAGAAAGTATTTGTGTAATATGAAAGTAGGAAAAAGCAATAAAGTATTAAGCAATTTTTAAATGCAGTAAAGATAAGATGGAAAACAGTAAAATGGCCACGGTAAATTTTTTAATTTGCATAATTTACATCAATAATTACATTAAGTGTGACTGGATTAAGTGATCCAATCAAAAGAATAGATAAGAAAACAAGATCCAACTATATAACACTTTCAAATATGCAAACGGATTGGAAATATAAGTAAAATGATGAAAAAATCGACCATAAGACAGTAGACAGCGACCATAAGACAGTAGACAGCGACCATAAGAGAAACAAAAAAAAGAGTAGCTCTACTAATATCAGACAAAATAGAGTAAAAAATTATACTAGAAGAAAAGAGATGAAACTGTCAATTCATCAAGAAGAATAAGTATATACATGGATACCCCTAACAACATATTCCCAAAACTCATGAAGAAAAACTGAACAAAGACTTGAAGGCAGTGGGTGTGGTGAGGGACAAGGCTATTCAACAGGAACACAGAACCTCCGTGGTGGTCCAGTGGTAAAGAACTGACCTGCCACGCAGGGAACACAGGTTTGATCCCTGGACCAGGAAGATCCCATGTGCCACAGGTCACCTACGCCCACACGCCTGTGCTCTGGAGTTGGTGAACACGGCTACTTCAGCCCAAATGCTGCTACCGCTAAGCCTGTGCACTTTGAGTCCATCATGGTCTGAAACAAGAGAAGCCCATGCACTGTGACTGGAGAGCAGACCCCGCTCCCTGCAGCTTAAACCCCATGCACGGCAACAAAGGCCCAGGGCAGTCGAAGAAACAGTAAGAATACTCCACTTTCAACAACGGACAGAACAATGAGGCAGATCGGCTAGAGAATGGAAGACCTCAACAACACAGCCTACGAGGCCTCACAGACAACTGCAGAACACCTTAAGAACAGAATCTTCACGACCTTCCAAAGTGCACCTGGAACCTTCTATAGTATAGATGAGATACAAGATCAAAAAGCAAGCCTCAGTGGATTTGGAATTACTGAAATCACACAAAGTATGCTGTCTGAACACAGTGAACTGAAATTAGAAAAGAGTAACAAGTTTGGGGAATTTACAGTGTGGAAATGAACAACTACTGGATCAAAGAATACATCATGAAATTAGAAAAATCCTTTGAGGCGAATGGAAATAGAAAATATGAGATGTAGCTAAAATAATTAGGAAATTTTTATCTGCAAGCAACTATATTAAAAAAGAAGAAATATTTGAGGTCAACATCCTAACCTTCCACCTATAATGTTAGTCACTCAGTCGTGACCAACTCTGCGATCCCATGTACAACAGCCCAGCAGGCTCCTCTGTCCATGGAATCCTCCAGGCAAGAATACTGGAGTGGGTAGCCTTTCCCTTCTCCAAGGGAATCTTTCGACCCTGGGATGGAACCCTGGTCTCCTGAATTGCAGGTGGATTCTTTACCATCTGAGCTACCAGGGAAGCCCCTCCATCTATGAGATACAGGGGAAAAAGGAGCAAACTAAAGCCAAAACAAACAAACAAAAAAAAAGAAAAATTACAGCAAAAATTAATGAAAGAATAGAAAAAAAATGCACCTAAATTTTTGACTTTGAAAAATAGACAAATCTTGAGCTAGATTAATGAAGGGAAAAAGGCTTAAATGACTAGAATCAAGAATGAATACAAAGAAATAACAGTAAGAATGGGAGGAAACTTTGGAAGCAAATATGTTTCCTTATGATGGTCATAATTTCATGTGTATACATATTCCCACTCATCAAATTGTGTAAATTAAATATGTACAGCTTTTACATGTCAATCATGCCTTAATAAAGTACTTAAATTTTTTTTTGATTCCACTGACAATAAAGTTTAAACATTAAATTCCTAGGTTTATATTTAACAAAAGTTCAAATCTCATACTCTGAAAACTACAAAACATTATTGAAAAGAGACAATATTCATGGGTTAGAAGACTTAATATTGACAAAATGGTAATTCTCCCCCAAATTCATCTACAGATTAAATGCAATCCCCACCAAAATCTCAGCGAGCGGACTTATTTGCATAAATTGACAACATGTCTCTCAAATCCATATAGAAATTCAAGGAATCTGGGCCAAAACAATCTTCAAAAAGGAAAAGCTAGAAAACTCACACTTCCTCATTTAAAAACTTAACTAGAAAACTACAGGAGAAAAGCAGTCAAGATGGAAGAGTTGAGGGAACCTAAGCTCACCTCCTCTCGGGAGCACCCCAGAATCACAACATTCTGCAGAATAACCATCACTTAAAAAGACTGAACCCTACCAGAAAATCTCCACAGCTAAAGACATAAGGAAGGAACCAAATGAGACTGGCAGGAGAGGCAGACCCATGACATAATCACATCTCATACCCACAAGGTGGGCCACCCACAAACTAGAGGATGATTGTATTACAGAGGTTCTCCCACAGGAGTGAGAGCTCTGAGCCCCTCATCAGAGCCCCCAGACTGGGAGTGCAGCACCAGGAAGAGGAACCCCCAGAGCATTCAGCTTTGCAGACCACTGAGGCTTGACTGCAGAAGCTTCACAGGGTTGGGGAGAAACAGAGACTTCAAAAATCTCATGTGTACCAGGACCAACAGAGAAAGCAGCAATTTGACAGGTGCCAAGGCCAGACACCACCCTTACAGCAGAAAGTGAAGAGGAACTAAAAAGCCTCTTGATGAAAGTGAAAGAGGAGAGTGAAGAAGCTGGCTTAAAATTCAGCAATCAAAAAATGAAGATCATGGCATCTGGTCCCATCACTTCATGGCACATAGATGGGAAACAATGGAAATAGTGACAGACTTTATTTTCTTGGGCTCAGTAATCACTGCAGATGGTTACTGCAGCCATGAAATTAAAAGACACTTGCTCCTTGGAAGAAAAGCTATGACCAACCTAGACAGCATATTAAAAAGCAGAGACATTACTTTCCCAACAAAGGTCTGTCTAGTCAAATCTATGGTTTTTCCAGTAGTCATGTATGGATGTGAGAGTTGGAC